AACAATATTTGCTTGTGTAATTCTTCTATTGCATAATTCTTTTATTATATCGTAATCTTTATGCATTAAATAAAAAGAAATTAATTTTGTATAATATATAGTAATATACAAAATAAAAGAATTTAATTTTGAATAAAAACATCGATGTCAAGTAAATATCGATGCTATAGAGTCGACATTTATCGAATATCGATATTAAGTTTCGATGTTAATTTCAATGTCAAATATCGATGTCACTCTTACCGATGCGGAGCCCTAATTGAAATGCAACGCGACGAATTTCTGATTGTGGACGTCACTGAATTCCATCGTGAAATAGTGAGTATACAATTTTCATACTTACAAATTCCGAAAAGGAAACGCGGCCATTCAAGGAGTAAGAAGAAATACTTTCGTACAATATTCGCTTACAAACTGAGGTTTTATATGATATGGCATGCGGCTAATCTCACTTTGGCAAGTCGTACGACTGCAGTGTGAAGTCTCAGAGTGATTGTAAAAAGTGGGATCTACTTCAGAGCAATTTTTGGTATTAAAACAGTCACCTCACCTAAATGATACTATCTTGAATTTAGTGCTCCATAAATAGCATTTTAGCACCACTTTTTGGAATTAAAATAAAACTGCTAAGTATCAAATATCAATCATGCGTTTAACTTCAGACTTGTTTTATGATTGAAGGCATTTTTCTCTAGTTGTTCATGACTGTTTATTTACAAACCTGAAGTTAGCAAATGAAACGATACGCACAAGTAGTATCAAACTCTGTAAAAAATTGAAAGTCAGTCTCTTTTTGTCAATCGTAATAGTTGAATGTCGGTCTTCTTTTCTCTCGTTCTCTGTCACCACATTCGAGAATTTATTTTATGCAGTTTATAACTGTAGCTAAAAATCTTCCATCCTGATGCCTGATGCCCGTCATCTCAGTTGATACCTTATTGTCTTTTGTCAATCGTAGAAGTTGAATGTTAGTCTCTTTTTGTCAGTCCTAACATTCGATTATCAATTCTGTTTTCTGTCGTCACAGTCCCGAATTGATCTTATTAAACCTACAATTACAAGTGAGTATTTTCTCTGTTTTGATATTTATTCTCTTCATTGATATATGATTGTCGTCTATTGTTGCTATTAATAGTCGGTTCACTGTTGCTTGTAATAAATCGACAAAATGGTATTTCATTGTGATTGTTGTAAGCGGCGTTCCAAAAAGATTGAATTGCGCGCAGTCAAAATTAAATCACATTTGAAGCTTTTAAGAGGAAAGTATAATGTAAACTTGAATAATTTATGTAAAGTGTGCAATAAATGTTATTACAATATCTAATTTAATTTAATTTAATTCAGGGTGTGGACAAAGCGTCAAGTTCATCATTCTGATATATATTATGCGTCACATATGGTATATAGGCTATTTTCGAAAGGAAAGTTTAGTGAACGGGGTAAAATTATAACATAGTTAAATATATGGATATGTAACTGGATGATGAAAATCCCATGTAAAACGCAATCATAAAGACCCATTTTTCTCTGTAATGAAAAGTCCAATGGGCAAATCATTTCAGGGTATTATGAGGTACATATAAAAGAACAATTTTACATAATATGAACTTGATCGGTTAGGGGGCCAAGAACCGGCCTTATCGCAACCCTTCCTTTACAGAAATCTGTCAAGTAAAAAAAAATGTGCCACACAAAGGGTTAAGGCATTGTACGATGGTTTCGAGAACGCACGTTGTTACGAAGATTCGTCTAGGAAAAGAAAAAATGTACCCTCGCGATTATAAAAGCAATCGTCTTTAAATAACTTTATCTAACAGAGAAGCGAGATAAAATGTTTTTCATTGCTCAAAAATAAGCTTTGCATTATCGTTAATATCGTTATCTCTTTCTTCGGTTGGAGGCACGACGTGATTTTGATATATAGATAAAAGGACGGAATTCTCGCTGACATTTAGTTGTCGCAAGATATGATAAACAGGCGGAACGTATGTACTCGAAGAGTATGTCCGATTAATTTATGCCCCAATAATTTCTTATTTAGATCCTTTCCTCTGCGGCGATATGTCGACAAAAATATGGAAAGTACATCGGAAGGATAACATCGATGAAACGCGAGATGTTGTAAAACATCGGATACGTGAGAAACACATCGATGTATACAACAGGAAATAAATCACGCAACACCGCACGCGCGTTGCGACGGCAGCATTAAATATGATTAATAATTTATAACACGTTTTTCTCTCTCTCTCTCTCTCTCTCTCTCTCTCTCTCTCTCTCTCTCTCTCTCAGTTGCGCGTTTACAGCGAGAAACTCGATACAACGTGCACGCCCATATCTCGAATAATATACCAATGTAACGTTGGTAGTAGCAGTAAAAACAGAACATAAATCTGAATATAATGCAACAACTGTGCGCGAGTTTGCGGAGATGGCTGTTTATTAACCGATATACGCTCGAAATCAATTTAAATATATGCGCATGCATCGCATGTCCCACGTAACTACATGCCGCATTAACCAAATGCGACCTATCGGTTTATACGCCGTTCAAAACAAACGAAACGAAATTAGTCAGACGCGAGATGGAAATCGCATGATCGGCGAAGAAAAGGAGTGGAAAGGAACAGGCAGGACGAATGAATTTTGCCGTGAAATTCTGCCATGATATTAACCCTTAACATTAGAAAAACCAAGGCAGCCAATTTGGCTCTTCGCGAAATTCAAACTGCTTTAATTTTTTTCAACTTTTCCTCCACGTGATATTTTTTATGGCTTTTCATCATTTTTCATGTTCTTAATTTAAAAAAATGTTTCAATTATATAAGATTGTTGAATTTTTATTGAATTATCTACCTAGAAGGACCGTGGGAGCCAATTTGACTCTCTTATATCTGATATTGCATTCTCGCATGTTTTACGGGTTTATTTATAAATTTTATGACTTTAAATAGATAAATAAATATTTTTATATGTATCTATCTATTTGTTCGCTTGAGAAATAATATATATATGTACACATAGATATACATATATAGTATCTTACCGTTGACCAGTTTATACTTTTTATATTTTGGATTTTGTTGTTATAAATGCATAGATTATATACAAGGAAGTTACGTGTAAAAAAATATCAAGAGAAATCATTTCGTAAAATCTCGCGGAAGAGTTGAGTGCCTCATATGTTACCCAAAGACGAAAGTCTCAAAATTTTGATTCAACCGGAGAAGAAACTGAATCCGACGATGCTTCAAGCAAACGACTATTTTGTCAAAAACAAAACTGCAAAAAAACTACAAAATTGGAAAATATTGTTTAGTCTTTCACCAAAGATTAAAAGAAATTCAATATAATATAATTAACAGTTTTGTTTTTTAATATAACTAATAGTTCTTTTTTTTTATTTTATAATTACCTATACGTTTTGTTTCTTTCTATTTATTATTTACGAAAAATATACTTGGAGCCAAATTGGCTCCTACGGTCCTTCTAGTGTTAAAGCCTGACATTTGATGACAAATGGCTGACATTTGTTCCCACGTATGAATTTTGTCTCGGTCTTATTCAATGTTAAATTATCCGCTGCAGACAACAACTTCTCTATTTTTTATTTAATATTTAATAATATTAGAAGGTTGAATTAGTTCTGGTCTTTAGCAATAGATTGCTTTAGTAATAAGTTAATGGTTAATACGAATGTTGAAATCTGGCAACATTGAAAGATTTGACATTTTTCTATGACATATGACAGTTTGCTCACAATTGTTACTGATAGTTTTCATTGTTTATATATACGTCCAAAATGGATCGTACAAAATTGCATTTTCGACATTCAGTACCTTTTTCGTTTGATTTGGAAAAATCGGCAACTGTAGCTCATGAAACGCTTGTTACAACTTATGGTGATCAAGCTCCATCGTATTCCAACTGTAAATTTTGGTTTCAACAATTCAAAAGTGGTTATTTCGATTTGAGTGACAAAAAACGTATTGGTCAACCAAACAAATTCCAAGATTCTGAATTGCAACCATTATTGAATGAAAACACTGCTCAAACGGGAAAATAATTGGCTAAACAACTCAACAATTTCTAAACACCTACACCATAGGAAAGATTCAGAAGGAAGGCAAATAGGTTTCACACGAATTGAGTAAAAGTGCCATTGCAAATCGTTTGAATGTCGCCATGTTTTTGCTTGCCAGACAGAAAAAAGAGTTTTTTGTGACGAATTGTAACTAGAAATGAAAATTGGATTTATTTTGACAATCCAAAGCGCAAAAAATCACAAGTTGATCCAAGACAACCATCAACATCGATACCAAAACGGAACATCCCCGGTCACAGAACAATCCTCCGTATTTGATGGGATATGAAACGTGTGATATACTATGAACTTCTAAAACCGAGTGAAACAGTTATGGGGAAGCGATACCAGCAACAATTGAATGATGAATTGATGCAAGAAAGGCCAGCGATAGCCAGCAATAGACGCAAATTCTTTTGCACGATAATGCTCGTCCACATGTTGCTTTAATCGTTAAACAAACATTGTTAGAACTCGAATGAGGAATCTTTCCGCACCCAGCGTACTCTTCAGATTAACACCATCTGATTACCATCTATTCCGATCGATGCAGCACGCTTTGACAGATACACACTTTAATAATTACGAAGATGGCTGTCTGATTAGATTGCTTCGAAAGACAGATCGTTCTATCATCGCGGAATCGCTATGTTGTCAGAAAGGGTGGAAATGTTGGGAAAAAGTCGCAGCTAACAACGGAAAATATTTTGATTCATGTAAATTTAACCATTTCTTTAAAATATAGATTAAAAATTAACAAAATAAGACCATAATTAGTTCAACCTCCTAATAACTTTGAAGGATTAAATCTCGCTGCCGGCGTCGCGAGCAGTGCAGCCCAAATTCGCGTGACACATGGAGCGGAAGACACTTAGAAGGACGAACAGCGAAATACGCGCAACAGTCGTTGAAATACCGGAAATAGTTGCGAGATACTGCCACAGCTTCCTGCCATCCTGGCGCGCAGGAATCCCATTAATCATGCTCGTGGTCTCCATCTTCTCCAGGATCTGTTTGACGCTTTCGAAGACTCTATCTGAACACGAAGATCGCGGCGGATCGACGCGATGGCTTTGATGGCGAAAACGATTTCGGAATCGTCGTGTCAACGCGTTCGCCACCCCGTCCGATCACAAGTGTCTCGCCACCTACGACACGTTCGACGAAGGGTACGTCGGAAGTGCTGTAAACTGCATCTCGGACGACGCGGGGCCGCTCGTACTCAACCGAATGGACGACCTGTCTACCGGGACCATCGTATATGACGGCCGTCATTATCTGCCTATCATTATCACTAATCTCGCTTATCTGCGCGGAATGAAAAATTTAGAAATCACGATAAACCGGCCGGCTGCGGCGACCGCGCCGGAGTCGAAAATCCGGGACGCATTGCTGAAGTACGCGCGCGGGGGTGAAAATGGGATCACGGACATGCTGGTCTCTCATGGACGCGCGACTGTCTTCTCGGGGGGCCTCGTCCTTATCGGCTCGCTTCGATATCGCTTCCGACTTGACGTATGCACGCGATTTTTGCACAAATTCCGATAAATAGATAAATAGATAATATAATATAATATAATAGATAATGTAATAAATATATTAGTAATAAATATATTAGTAATGTAATAATAGATATTAAATACTGTTGGATAATGCATAGAGCGTTTATATGCTACCTATACGAGTTTGTAGGGAAATAAAGTAAGCATATTAAACGTATGTTTTATAGCCGCTTGATCTAATTATTAAATACGCAGTTCATTGGTAACAATTTGATAATTTGAAATCTTCCAACCACATTTTACAAATTATTTCCCGAGTAACGAACGTTTATATTTCGTCCTATCTCCAAGTATTATTTAGTTTGTCAACAATTCATGTGGTGTGCGTGTAAAGAATACTTCTAAATATTTCTCCAGTGTTCTTAGAATAATCGACCGGTATACATCCGAGTGTGTTCTGTGCATAGAGAAATTTATTATTTTTGCTACGAGTTCCGTACATTGTTTTCGAATTGATATCACAAACGTATACGTAATTGTCCAATATATCTCAAATATATAATTGTCCAATATATATAAAAATTGCTATGTAGCAATTGCCTCGACCGTTACTTTATGATTCAAAGACGGCAAATCGTTATAATAATTTCTTCAATCAAAACATTTGTCATATTTGCAAGGTAACAGATGCTTACAATTTCATAACATGTGATCATTGTTACATGGTCATTTACTGTAGTCAGGAACACAAACAGTTACACCAGTCGCAACATATGCAAATCTGCATGGTGGTAAAAGAATTATTAAACATGGACGCAGAATTGGACACTCGTCGATTAAGTAAGGAGAAATGGATTCAGTCGAGGATGGAGTTGATGCGTTTAATTATGGGAAAACTGTCGCGTAATCTCGAATTCCACGAGATGGATATGATCATGTATGCAAAATCATGTTGTATTTGTCATCAACAAACGAATCTGCAAACGTGCACGTCGAGCTATTCCTCCAGCTATTGCAATGATCACGCGGAAAAATTTCAAACCGTCCATAGTTCCAATTACTACAGTGAATCGTTACATCTCCTTTTAAAAACCGCATTGATAAACAACATTTCAGATTTATTAAAATTCACTCTTTTATTTGATACATATGAACCACTTATAGATATGCATGCATTTGTTGAAAAACATCTAAAAACAGGACCTTATAAGGAATTAAGTGATACTGTGGTTGCTTTTAATTACTTATATTCTGAATTCGCATCAGGACCACTTACGCTATATCATGGGCTGCGGGATACAAAATTATTTGATTTTCTAGATATAGAATGTTGTTATTACGTTATTCATATAATAGGTGCAGACTATTATGGTAAAAAATATATTCCACCTTGGGAGCTTTTCCTGCATCTTTTGAATCATGTACAGCATTTAACAATTGTATTGACAGAAATGAATTTTGGTATAGCACATTTTAATATCGACGTTTGTAGTCACTGCAGAGAACATAACCGAATAATTAGCATTGAGTATTATTCAATGTCGTTTTGCGAGAGGAAGAGAGAAAGAAAGAGAGAGAGAGAAAGAGAGAGAGAGGATAATTTTAAATAAGGAATAACCTATAAATTATTTCGATAAATAATTTTTTTTTAACATATGTGATACTAAATAGCCGTTTCTCTCTCTCTCTCTCTCTCCCCTCTCTCTCTCTCTCTCTTTCTTTCTCTCTCTCTCTCTCTCTCTCTCTCTCTCTCTCTCTCTCATTCTCTATGCTTAGGAACTTCTATATCTTAATCGTGACATAAAATATTTAAAAAGTGCATTAGTGGGAATACAATTGCGTTCCCGAAGATAGTGATAGTTTGTATATTACATATTTTTTCATATACGTACGATAATAAAATTGACAAGTTTTTTCTACAAAATAGCATTCGTTTCATTCTGTTCAGCCTACCTGTTGCAAAGTAATAATCATTTACTTTCAATACAATCCTAATAGTCATCCTATATTTACATAAAATAATATTTTTGTTATTCAATAAAAATATTTTCATACACATTTATTCTTGTTCTAAGGCTTTGCAAAAGAAAGTTATAAATTAGTAATTAAGTGTAATTAAAATTTAAGCTATACAAATTTAAGCTTTACAAATAAAATTAAGCCCATTTATTTATTAAAAGTAATTTAGTTTCAAGAGTTTTTTCTCAAAAACTGATTTACTTAAATAACATAATAAACGAGTACCTTGATCAAAATATTTTCCTTCATTTTCTGCAACTTTTTTTCATCTTTCTCGCAAAAGATGGATTCCGCGACGATAAAAAGATTCTTCTTTGAGGTTGATATAATTTTCAACGCATTTTCACACTGTTTGAAGTTATGAAAATGTATATTCTAGAGTATGTTGCATCGACCGGAACAAGTGATAATCGGATGAAGCAATATCTGAAGAATACGCGGGGTGCGGTAAGACTTCCCATTCCAGTTCTAACAGCGTTTGCTTTATTGATAATGCAAAATGAGGTCGACCATTGTCGTAAAGGAGGATCACTGTGCGTCGTTTATTCGCAATTGACAATTGAATTTGGTCCAATGTTCGCTTCAATTTATATAATTGTTGTCGATAACGATCAGCGGTAATAGTTTCATTCGGATTTAACAGATCATAGTATACAACACCTTCTCGATCCCACCAAATATCTTTGAACCATGAATATTGTGCCTCGAAGTGGATGTTGCTGGTTGGACTGAATCAACCCCAATGACTTTTTTTTTGTTTGGGATTACCGAAATAGATCCATTTTTTCATCTCCAGTAACAATTCGATATTCAATAAAACTCTTCATTTCTTCTCTAGCGATCAACGAAATGCAAATATTCAACCGGTTGACAATGACATTATCCGATAATCGATGTGGAACCCATCTTCCTTCTTTGTGAATCTTTTCCATATCATATAAATGTTTAGTCATTGTTTTACGAGCAACGAGCATTGTTTTAATGCTCTGGCAAGTTCTGAAGTGGATTACGCTAGATTGTCGTCCAATAATGCTTGTAAATCTGCATTTTCAAGCCTTTGGTTGTCCCAAGCGATCTTTATCGTTAACATTGAAGTCACTACTTTTCAATCATCTAAACCAATAATCACATGTCTTCATTGATGGAGCAACATCACCATAAGTTTCTATCAGAATTCTATGACCTTCAGCCGCCGTTTTCTTCTGATTAAAAAATAAAAAACGCATGTCGAAGATGCTCTTTAGGAAGCTCCATTTTTAAGATAGCATTAACATGATTTTTGCTGCATCTATTGTTAGTAAATGATTAAATATCATAGATTAATATTGAAGCGTTAAGGAATAATAGCTGTGATTGGAATGTCTTTGACAAAACTGACGTTAGTGCCATCTCTTGCGAAACTCTGAAAACTGAATTACATTTCTAATAATTAAAGTTTTAGATGCAAATCGATTTTAAATTCGATCGAACAAGGGAAATGTAATTATTGTAATTATTATTACTGTCTTGGCGTGCAAAAAGATCTTCTTAAAGAGCTCTCGTTTAAAAGCTATTTGATTTTCTACCTTTTCAAATTGATGTGGTCGAGAACAACGGCTCTGCGCTTTGAAAAGAAGGCTGATCAGTTGACTGTGGAAGTTGTGAGTCCAACATAGATGTGGCTCGAAAGTTCGTGAGGAGTTACAAGGATAACTGTTGTGTGTACTGTGGTTTAGCTACGGGAGCACGCGGAGAGAAGAAGATTAGAGTTCTCTTAAGCGCTCGCGCACCTTTGAGTCACCATAATATCCCTGATAAGTTAAGGTGCCAATAAAATTGCGAAAAAAATACATTTATCTGTCGGAACTGTTCTATCTCGATGGGGCTATTTATCGGAGCGTGTTTTGACATCGCGTCAATATAGCTTAGCGGCTTACCTGCCGTAAACATGCAACGGCTTTTGAAAGAAAAAAGTCGGGACTCTTCTTTCGCCCGAGTGCTGTTTCTGTATTAGCACAGCACGAGGCTGCCTATTAATCCTCGAGTCGGCAGGTAGAAGTCGCTTCGGAAATAGCCGACGTTGCTAAGAAAAGTTCCTGCAAATTGCTACTCGCACAAAGCTACAAATAGTTCCCTTTGCCGTGCAAAGACGCCCCTCAGAGGGAAATAACTCTCGCCCCCGCTCTGATCCTCGGCGCGCGCTTTGACGTTCAGAAACGCTCCGAATTATCGAGATTTCATACGTGCCTTGGCGCGGGCGTGCGTTGAAACGAATTCGTTTGTTCGTGTGAATGAATAACGTGTAAATTAATAACAAGCGCGAGAAATCGATACGTTCGGCAACATGTTCAAAAACGAACAATCTGTCCGACTATAGTAATTATAATTTATTATAAATTATAATTATAATAATTATTATAATTCTTATATATTATTATAATAATTCCTGTGCATGACGGTGCGATTTAAAATTTTACACGGCAATGCGGGCAAAATGCGTTACGTAAATGTATATTTGAATAGAAGAAAGATAAATAAGGGCGTTCAGAATTTTCAAAAAATAATCCTTTTTTTAATATCATGTAATCATTAGGAATATAAAAAATAACCATTAGATGAGAAAAACTCGATCCATGAAGCCAAAATTAATCTAGGTATGTCATTATAATATCTAAACCTTTTCCACGATTTTAAATGGGCCAATAAAATATTTTCGTTCATTATATATTCCTTTGTCATCATATTAATGTCATTTTAGACTGCAATGTATCATCCCCGAGCCGAAGATGAATACAGCTCATAGTAAAAAAAATAATTTTTTGTTACTCCTAATGTATAAGAGTCCAATTATTTATCCTTATTCTTTTTTAATTTATTTTTTATTTTTTGATTTTTGTTTTTTTTGTCTTTTGAATATATTAAACATTACGATCGTGACTTTTAACTCTTTGTACTAGGAATGCCAGCACAGCTGGCATGAAAATTTTTTCCGGCAATTCAAAATGTCAAGTGTGCTCGCATAAAAAAGATTTAAAGATACAGAGCAATAAAACAATAAAATGCGGCGACGAGATTAAAGGAAATAAAAATCCTTTTTTGTAATTTTTCTAGAGATTTTAGTAGGTATATTTATAATTATCAAGTTTGTGAAAGGAAATGTGGAAATATTCCTCGAGTGCAAATGGTTAAGTATCTTCTAATGATGAATGTTCAAAATTAGACGATTCTTTTTTCTCATCTTTATCTGTCCAATAGAACAAATAATCAGTATTATTTATATTATTTTCAAGATCTCTTGATGTTAATATGACGTTAATATGATAACAGAGAAGCATAATAAGCGAAGATATTGGGTTGGCAACTAAGTGATTGCGGATTTTGTCGACAGATGGATTTTACACTTTCTTTTGTTTCGTTAACGTGTTCAAAGTACCTAACCTATATTTTTTTCTTATTGTTTGGACTTCTACCTTTCATTTAGTACAAAAATCATATCGATTAGTTCTTTAGTTTTGTTTTTATCCCAATTTAAAAATGGAAGAACAAGACGTGCACTTCAGACATATTTTATTGTATTATTTCCGAAAAGGCAAGAACGCATCGCAAGCACACGAGAAGTTATGTGCCGTATATGGGAATGAAGCCTTGAAAGAAAGGCAGTGTCAAAATTGGTTTGCCAGATTTCGTTCTGGTGATTTTTCATTGAAAAATGCTTAACGATCTCCGGCCGTCCAGATGAAGTCGATGAGACCCATATCAAGGCCATTATCGATTCAGATCGTCATAGTACAACACGTGATATTGCAGAGAAGCTCAATGTATCGTATATATGCATTGAAAAAAATTTAAAAAAGCAAATTAAAAATTTTGAATTTTCATTCTTATTTAAAATCCGCAATCACTTAGTTGCCAACCCAAGTTTATTAGTTTATTAGTCCACTTATTAGCCATAAAAAGAGTTTAGATAGCATAGCGATATACCTGGATTAATAACTCATTTTCGCTTTATGAATCGAGACTTTTCCTCACCTAATGGTCACCTTTGGCATTCTTAATAATCATACAATACAAAAAAAATTATTTAAAAAAAACTCCTACGTATTTTAAACTTTCTTTCTCTCTTGATCTACCGATTTCTCTCTCTCTCTCTCTCCCCCCTCTCTCTCTCCTCTCTCTCTCTCTCTCTCTCTCCCTCCCTCCCTCCCTCCCTCCCTCCCTCTCTCTCTCCCTCCCTCTCTCTCTCCCTCTCTCTCCCTTATTTCTTCTTGTTCGCTCGCTGCGCGAAAAATGTTGGACGGATATCTCGAATCGAGATACAAGCTGCGCTGGAAAAAAGAGACATTGACTGCTTTTGGGAACGTATCGCCTCTACTCTCGCATGTGGCAGACATCAATCCTATTTCAATTACTGGCGGAGCGCGATTCTCGATTTTTCACACTGTCGCGTCGGATTTCACGCTAAACGCGCCTTCTCCGCCGCCCACGAATTCCCATCTGCCCGCTTGTGTTTTGCTTCGCTTTTTCCAACGGAGACGGCGACTCTCGCAGACTCTCGGTTTATTACATTTCCTTGCGCGAGAAACGCGGCTGGATGCACCTGCCACGTTGCGCA